TTCCTACTTGGGCTGCCTTGTGATCGGTGCAGCCTCTACAATGCCGGTGAAACTCGTCCGAGGGAGGATACACACGGGCCAATCTTTGGGCTTTTATAACTCCCTAACTAGGCCCTTCTCCGACCTAATAGTGCCAGGTATGGTATACGCGGGGGCCTAAATTCATCCTAAAACGTTGGAAACCATTTTTATCGTGAACAGTAACTTTAAAACGAGACTGGAAGCTCTGAGTATGGCATGTGAATGTCGTATTAATCCCAGCAAGTGAGACTGCTCGCTAATTTCTTCTGACTCTATCACTATTACAATATTACTTTCTTCTTCGAAAATCTGACTTCAACACAGCGTTACTTTCTTCGTCGGAAATTTATTTTATTTGTATTCAATTTGACCTTCTACACCTCATTTTGAATACCTATCTGCGAGAGGACGAGAAGCCACACCAGTTGTTCGGCAGAGAAGTTGAGAAGAACCATAGAACTTTTCCTGAACATAGTATATATTCCTCCATTTCTTCAAGTCCTACTGCAGTATGCAGACGAGAATCTAGTTCAAGGGCATAATATCGCCGTGAGGAAAGGGAAATAAGAACGGTCAAAGCTGCAGTAGTGAGTTTGAAAGAAGCAAGTATTAGCAACTACCATCTGAAATAGCTAGTGGCTTTGCGGACGTGAATGGTCGTCGTAGGTAAAGGTGTTTTCACTTTTACTTTGCTGATGAACTTCAGTATATGCCATGTGCTGAGGCTTTTCTTACGTAGTTATATAGGGAAAGACTGTCATCCACTTCTTGTATTTGTATTTGGGTAAAGAAAATAACGTCTGGTCGAACTAGCTGGTGGCATTGGGACAGTGAACGAATGGGAAGCATATATGAAAATCTCAGTTGCAGGTTACTCTGCTGATTAACTTCAAAACAAGCTATGTGCCGTAGCTGTCTAACGCCAATGTGCTATGTACTACACAAAATATTCTCGGAGAAAGAAAAGTGGAAGGTCCAAGGAGATTCGAAAGGGAAGCTTCACCGTAGAATGCCACATTGGAAATACGTCAAGAGTGGAAGGGAACTTTAAAAGGCTTCTGATGCCAGGCAACTATCATATTTGAATGGAGCAGTCTCTGTGAGTGCTAGGATTGCCTACCTCTGAACGAACAGACCCATAGTAGTGCCTGACTAGTACGATAAGTGGACGAATGCTGTGAGCAACCGTCATGGCTTGAATGTGCTCCCATCAGGAATTTCTGTTGTTTTGTGAATTGCTTTCAACAGCATCACACACGAGTACACATGCATATCGAGTAGCATACGTAGATAGGGAAGAATCAGATATGCTCAGGCTTACGGAATTTGTTCAGTGCAGCACTCCATGTAGTATCACATACTGCTTACCTGTGCATTTTGAGGGGCCGAAGCATAACAGCTCCGGAGGGTTTCGATTGTATCTCTTCATAAATGAGTTGTCTTTTCTATAGAGTTGCACCACGCACTTCCTCTGTTTTCAAACTGAAACAAGAGTAACCGAGGAGCTCGTAAAGCAAAAATATGCAAACCGACCGCAGGAAGTGAGCTGCAGACCTAATTCTTAAAACCGAATAGAATAACCTGCTTGAGGAGCAGAGGAGCATCTAGTTGAGCTGAGTTTTTTTCATGACACACCTGTAATCCAGTACCCATTCTTACAACTCCTAAATGCTTGTAGACGATTTTGGTGCTGTAGTTCAAAGACACGAATGGGATTGGTACCTCAGACAGCCTCTGTAGATGGTCCGTTTTGCTCCAATGACAATGATGGATGAAACGCAGTGGTCTAACCGTTCACAAGTTTGGAATCACCCTGTAGCATAATGTGCTTGTTATCCTCGAAACTTTTGGTCATCTGATGCCCTTTCAGTCTTTCTGATTCTATCATCCAAGGTGATTCATGAGCCTCGAAATGATATAGTGAACTACTGATGCACCTGGTAGGTNAACCGTTCACAAGTTTGGAATCACCCTGTAGCATAATGTGCTTGTTATCCTCGAAACTTTTGGTCATCTGATGCCCTTTCAGTTTTTCTGATTCTATCAGTGTCAATCATCCATCCAAGGTGATTCATGAGCCTCGAAATGATATAGTGAACTACTGATGCACCTGGTAGGTTGTTCGCTTTTGCTTTTCCTAATTTTAATATAGATCAATGGTGTAATGTAAGGTGGCCCACATGGATGCTCACGGGTTCGAATCTCGTGTCGATATCCGCCCAGGTCAACCAGCCTTCCATCCCTCTAGAGTCCCTAATTGGTCTATTTTGGAAGGATAAAAGCTCGAGTTGTACATCGGCTGGCCACCGCAAGTCATAGGTATAGGCTACGTACTCCCTCATTACCGCACTACAATTCTGAATGGAGGGCATTGCTGAGCTATGCCTCAGACGGGATTGATTAACGCCTACAGACTTTATCCATTCAAGACTATATGTAATTCTGACACCATATAAAACATGAGAACGTTTTCATTGTGGAAACCTTCACTAATTACAAATACAGCCTAGCTGATGGAAGCTCCTATGATGGTTTCTTTTCAGGGGCCATCACAATATAGATGAGAGCTCTAGGCATCTAAGTTGACGATTCAGGTTCAATAAACTACCAAAACGTCTTAACCACTGATGTGAGTAGATAACTAAAAACTGAGTCGGAGATCAGTAAGACACTAAGGTTTCCAGACACGACACCCTGTGATAACCCAATAGCACAAAACCAATAAATGAGGCTCGTGAGTTTTCCCTCGTACGGAGTGAAAACAGGGAATTTTTCGTAAATTCTCTAATTTCCCTGCAAATTTCATGAATCTCCTCATGGTGATAGCTGTCAATGAAAAAACCATCGCAAATGGGAGGCTGCACTTTGATTTAGAAACTACATAGTATGGCTGCTTTCATAGTCGACAATCTGGCCCGCGAGCGAGCGAGCGATTTGGGGCGACGCTTGCCCGCGATATCGACCAAGATCCAGTTGTAAACAGGGGCCAATCGCTCGATTGCTCGCTCGCTCCATCTCCCGCTCGCGAGTCAAATCGTGGACTATGAAAGCAGCCTATGGGCTACTTATGTTCTAAACATGTGATAAAGTGACCCCTGCAATGATCCTCTAACCGCCCGAGGCCTTGTTTTAGGTGCATTTTTGTTGCAGGACGGGTGTTTGGAAGCGCTCGAGTGAATCTTCAAGTTATGTATCACACAATCACAGAATCTCAAGTCTGTCTTGTATAAGTATTGAACATGTGGCGTAAACAATTCTCTACGTGCCCCTATTTAAGCGTTTCTCGGGGGGTATGGTTCATTCCTTTACTCGGTCGTTCAGCTTTCATCGTGGAAGCTTGGAGCAACTACTCGTACTCGTACTCGTACAAACACTCCTAACGGCTTTCTAAGCAAGAACCTGTAACTACAACGTTGGTTTTCATTGCGACCTTCGATGTCAGTTCCGGCTTAATCGATTTTGCAGAGTCACGAGATGAACTTCTTCTCAATATTTCTGTCGCTGGTTACTTTCATAAATTTAATGGAGAGTGCAAAATTCAAGGTGAGAGAATTCCTCTCACTCCAGAGCAAGTCTGGCCCAGACATTGATCGGTGTTGAAAGGAAGATGTTCAATCTCGATTGCTTCTCTTGCGCTGCATGGAATTTCCTCTCCCCTTCCCCCCCCCCCCCTCTTAGCTTTGTTAACACGTACTGAGGAGGCGGCATTGGCTGATGGGAAGGTTCATACTGATCAAGGCCTGTCTGTCGGGAAGGTCTAAACGACTAGTAGGCACTGCTGCAGCGCAGCGAGACGTAGGAAGGGTGGGTTTCATAACCAAATCTTGGGATTGCGTCTCGAGCTTCCAATAAAATTGAGCGAAACGATAGACTGCTGTGCAGCTGTATTGCTCGAAAAGCTCGAAAGATTAATAAGCATTGAGAACGTTATGCCAATGTTAATTTTAGAATATTTCAGTTTTACGTCTGGAGGGACACCCAGAAGTGCGCTGCCGGCACTTCACCCAGAAAGTCTTCACTTCGAATTCGCAGAGTTTACTCGGTATTTTTTGACAAGAGAACCAGGCAAATCTTGAAAATTAAGCGATATAGACATCATCCTCATGATGCCATAGTCTCGCTCTTAAATGAAGAGTACAATGGAGACATGACAAACGTTGGCCTTGGAATTTACCTTGGCTTTGCACGCTCTAAGGAATTTCGCAGCAATGAAAGTCCTACCACTAATCATAAATTGGAAAAGGATATTTCGGATGATAGAATTCCACTTGTGAAGCCCGGTACTGGAAGTGACTTCTCTGAAATGTACCACGATGCTCCAGTCATGCTAAAAATTCATTTTGTGGAGGTGAAGAAAACAGGAGCAGAGGAAAACTATGCGTAAGAAAAAGTATTTTCTTCTAGAATTCAATTTGTTCAGAATTAAGCTTATAACTTTACAGGTTATTCGTGGCCAACAGCTGTTCTGAAAGTAAAAAATGGATTGCTAACGAAGGTTATTACCGACTTGATACCAATAACGGAGAGTTCATACCTATTTACTATGATCCCATTGAATCAGACTTTTACTACTGAATAAAAATTACTCGCTCCTAACTCGGGAAACCAGCAGAAGGTCTTTAAAGCTTTGACAACCTGGGGCACCTTTCCTACTTCTTCATTTAAACCGCGGCCATGGATATTGGTCACTAGACTGGATTGAACGGTCTTTTGCATCGCAATCCGCAGAACTTTTGATACTTTATAAACCCTTATCAGCTCTGGCATTATGCCGAGCAATCGCGGTAGTCTCTTTCAAAGATGTTCTCCACACCTGCACTCTCAAAAAGAAAGGTCTTTTCTTACTTTCTTCGCTCATAGATCCATGCCACGACGAAAGAATGTGAAAACCTTAGTCACCAACCGTAAAGACGGCTGGCTCCTTTGCCAGACAAAACGCCAGAGGTGTCAAAAAGAGTAATAATAAAGGGGCTAGGTTGAATCCTTTCATCGTACGATCTGTGTTCTGCCCTCAAAACTGCATTCCATGACTATTCACACATGTGCTTATGCTCAGCGTTGGTAGAGTCAGGAGCTTCACTCAAAAGTATCCGCCATACCCATGAAGGGCTTCATACAAAGCGTTCACTCTGTGTACGGACCTACTGCACTGAAAACCAGCCCTAAAGATGTTTTCGTTGAAGCCGCTGTCCTTTGTAGTTTGTAGTATGTCTGTAGGAAGCAAAATATATAGAATCTGCCCATGACTCGAGCCCCTGGAGAAATTGGGTAGTCCTGGAAGGCACGAGTTAAAGCGCTAAATAAAAAATCGCCTAGACATTGTGATGAACTCTGACGAGTTCATAGTGACATTTGGCAGTGGGTACCATTTATAGCACAGGACGAGTGCCATAAATTATCATCCAAATGGATCAGTTACAATCTTCAGAGCAGCTTGATGTAACTTTCTGTGCATGATCTGTTGGCTGCAGTCACTAGAAGTGTCAGTGATGCAAATTTTACAGCAAGAAGTCAAAGCTTCGAACAAACGTTGGTCTGAAGTAGAGCTGGACATTCTGACTGTATCATATTGATGCCGTATTTATCCCAACAACTAAGAATACACGCTTAATTTTTCTAATTTCAAGAAACCGTTTTATTCCTCTTAGTTTCAACTGTCGTACCCAATTCAACTTTTTCGCTTCAATTTGGCGTAGCTTTCTGTTGCCAGTTTAGGTTCTTACAGAAACTGTAGCACATTGTTATATTCGAGCAAAAAATATTTGAGCAAAGAGAAAAGGAAGAAGTCCACGGAGAGCTGGAAGGCAGCTTCACCGCAGAGTGCCACATTGGAAATACGTAAGAGTTGAAAGAAAATTCAAAAGGCCTTCGATGGCAGGTAACTGTCATACTTTAATGGAGCAGTCTCTGTGAATGCCATGATCGTATAACTTTCGTAGCTATGAGATCTAACTTTGAGCGGACAGACTTACAGCTTGTTACTATTAGCAAGCTATTGTTAGATTCCTGTTTTCTTTACTCACAGCATATAGAGCATTGAAATACACGAAATGCTGTCAGCGGATAAGAAGTTCATGAGTCCCTCAAGATGAGGAGACTTCGACAGTCGAGATTTTTTCAAAATATATTTCAGGAATGGTTGTGGCTGGGGACTTTAAAGTTTCTCCTTCAATCCAACGAGCTACGCTTTGGAGTCTCACTGCAGTAGCCTTCACTAATTGAAGCCTAGCTAATGGAAGCTTCTATAAAGAACTCCTCTCTGAGGCTCCTGGTATGACGGTTTAGGTCCAAGCTACCAATCTCCCAAACCAGTGATGTTAGTAGAAAACTAAAACAAAACTGTGTGGGAGATTAGGAAGATGAGGTTTTCACTCACAATGTCCTGTGATGACCTAATAGCACAAAAGTGGTTTATGAGGTTCATGGGTTTCCCTTTAGGTGGAGTGAAAACCGGAAATTTTCCGTTTATGCTCTAATTTTTTCCTGCAAATTTTATGAATTTCTTCATAGGGATAAATGTAGACGAGAAAAAATCACTGCAATTCTGAACACAGTAGATATATCACTTCATCAGAAATTAATGCAATTCTAGAATTATTATCGAATCAGCGAGCAGCGATACATACTGCTTAAAAACTACATTACGCTATTATCAATCTACCGTTATGCCTGCCAATGACATATAATTTCCAATTTCATACTTACATACATATATTCAACATACAAATGAAACAAAGCCGTTGGCGAGAAACGACAAACTCAAATCCCAGAAAAAAANAAAAAAATTAATTATTCAGCTGGGAACATTTCATACAACAATATAAAAGTGTGCAACATGAAATTAGGATACTGGAGTGACTGTTAAACGGAAAGATGACTGTTTTGGTTGGATAGTTGTTTGTTGAACGTCACCACGCTTATTTTTCTTGAGCAAAGTCTTGATGTGACCGATCCCGAGAAGCGTGTCAAAAATGCCACGGTATTCTTTACTGAAAAGTAATATTTCGACAGTGCCATATATGTTCCACTGAATGATTTTCAGATTTGTTCGGCTAAATGCTTGGTGAAGGCCGAGTATACTCTTGCTTTTCCATTACAACACAAATCTGCTGGTAGTTCTCAGAATATGGCATTTTATCTTACAACAGAAGTTGCATGGAAAGGGTACTTGGACGAGTTGTCAAAATATTTCTGCCATTGGCTACAGGGAGCTGCCTGCGTTCCGGTGCAAATGATGTAAGCTTCACAGCCACTACTACGCCGTGAGAACTCGTCCTTACTGGGTGTGTGTGTCGGCTAAGCCGAATTCAGGACCCTTTAAAAATCCTATTTTGGCAGCTTTTGGAGCCGATAGCTTGCCCCATATTCACACTGGGGAGAAATTCCAGAAAACATCTTTATGCTTGCAAATGACACATGCAGGCACCACATTTACGTAGTAATTTTTTTGTAATGTCATATGTGCTCATGTACTGACCTGATACAGTAGTATACGAAGAAATTAACAGAAGTTGCTGTAGTAGTAAATAGACCTGCAATCAAGTTCAGGTATATTATTTCAATACTAAGATCGAGAATCTTCTTCATAGAAAATACGGCCATTGTGCTGAAATAGCCAAGCACAACTGAGAGACTGATAACAACCATAGAGCGGTAGATGCTCTTCGATTTACTGCTGTCTGAAATCACTCACTATTTTAGTAAACTAATGGTAGCCCGAAAGATCTTTGATATTCGGTTTCAAATACCTACTCATTTGGAGTTTCTTCAAGAAGAATATAAAGGAAACATTGCACAATATAATCAAAAGGCAAATTGCGATAATTACTCTGGAGTACACGTCGTTGATTGTCCCTTGCATAGGTGTCACCAATATGCATGTGACCATTCTGCAATAAAGAAGAATGTTGGAGAAACTTACTTGAGCGACAATATTGCCATAAATAGTAACAATACAGTGCGTATTCTCAGTTTCACTGGCACAGTTGAGTGTCTGTGCCTGGGATAAATAATTATACTGATTGACTTACTGATCATACTTTCGATTCATCAAAATCACCACATCCAAAGCAGCTCCCATTATGCATCCTGGCAAAACCTGGGCAACGATGTAATGCCTTGAATAGGAAGCGACCATGGGTTTGCTGAGAAACTATTCTTAATTCAGGACTACCTTTATCTAACTCTACGCCAAATAATACATGTGATGAGAGCCTTATCCCTCTGGTAACTCGTTTCTTTCGAAAACTCACTAGAAAGACATCATAGATAGTAGCCGATCAATAGCAATCGCAAGTAAAAACATCGGCGATGTGCATGCTCCAAACAGAGGTATCAGTTGAAGGTAGGCACAGATGGGTTGAGGAATTGTTTCTTTTTGGACACTGTAAGTGAAAATATAAGAGTCAATAAGGAACCTATGAAAGGCGAAGAACGGTCTGCCGCGTTCACATCACCCGATCTGGCACAGTGGCGCGCTATGGAGTGGAGCTTAAGAATTTTCCCCGAATGGATACTGGATACTGCAGAACCACCGCCGTTTTCCATGGGAGTTTGGAGGAAAAATCGAGCCACCTGCACTAAGTTGTAGGCAACGAAAATCAGGTAAACCTCGGTTACCATTGCGCAGACTAATTCGACTTAATGCATCCAATTCGATGCGCAAAACTTCAGCAGAAACTTACATGTTGTGAAAGGAAGTCGATATAAGGTTAGAAGATATAAGCATCATGTCGCTGAGGGATACCAAAGCGATGAGTATGCTGCATGGACTGCGTAAAGCCCTTAATCAAAACGAGTAGAGACGAAACGCTTTCAATATGTGCAAGATTATCATGACCCATTTAGTTCATCTTACAAAGATCTTACCTTGACCGTATCGTTACATAAACGATTAGCCCGTTCCCTATAAAACTGATCACAGGGATCACGATGTATAACACATGATAAGGGACCGGTTTACTGTTTGGATACATTCTGAAATGACCATTTGATTAGAGAGAATAAAATTTAAGTCATTTTTTGTTAGACAAGCCGGAGTACATTGAGTATTAGAGGCCCATCATCAACAGACATGCTAGTTTATGAAAATCCCACTACGAATGGACGAAACTGAGACGTTTCTAATGATGATCGTCTTGCATACCGTTCGCCGTTAGTATCTCAAAAGCGGCTGACGACAGAACGACTTTTATATTAGAGAGGGAACACTGTTCCAATATTATTCAAGACGAATATCTTCACTACAAGGTATTGAGATAGGTGATTTATAAGTCATTGAGAGGCCTATCCCTTCATACCTACTTCGACTGGCATAGATTGTTAGCAATACTATCCAAGGCCCGACCATGTAGAGAAGTGTTAAAGGAAGATTCGATAAAGACAGCAGCAGTTCAATCTGAAGTACTGGAACTGGAAAGAGTAGATACAATACTCTCTGTGGTTTTGCCAGAATTATATGTATGTTTCGATACCATCACATAAAGCCACTGCGTTCGAAGGGTTATTCATTTCAATTTTTCCTGTTGCAGTATTCGTTTGTCTGTAGCTCTCCTGTTTGAAGATGGGAGGATTTTCCTCTTTCAACTTCGAAATGCTCGTTCGCATGATATGACTTGTTTTGACTTGATGTTTTGTTAATTGCTGTTTTAACGCCGCTGCAGTACGCGAAGCGAAAGTCTCACAAGTTTGGCGATTTGTGGGCAAAACTTCAGTCTCGGATGGGACTCGAACCCGTACTTGTCCTTACCAGGGACCGTGCTCTTATCCCTTACATTAACGAGATCCCGCTTGCCCTCGCCGTCAACT